AATGAGAGCAAAGCAGCCAGCGATTTAATTGGCTAGAGGACAATCGTCAATCGCCAATCCCAATCCAATCCGAGTTAGCAATTGCTAGTCTGATTCGGCCTTTAAACATTGTGGGTCAAACACCCACGAATCGTTATCTTTATCGTTTCAACATCTTACCGCTCGAAAGAGCATTGAATAATACTGGAGCATTGGGGCTGCGAATGAGATCGTACAGCATATGATTAAAATGTATGTCTGTATAACGTTGTGCAGCGGTTTCCGTGTCGTTGAATCCGCAGCGCGAATCGCGAGTCGATTTCATTAGCGTCGCATTTGGCGTGCGCCCGTCAAAATTGCAGCAGCAGCCAGGCAAGGCAGGCAGCGGGGGCTTAAGAGAAACTGCCATCGCCATCGTACAGGCGGTGGTGAAAAGGGGAGTGGTTGGTGGTGAAATAGGAGCCGGCGGATGCTGCTATGCTATGGTGGGAGAAACCGGGCCAGTAATCTCCGCTCACGGCTCCACTTCTGCGTAATTTATTACGACTTGCCGAGCATCCCCACAGGGTCGAATCCAACTTCGGATGGCGAGGCGCCGCTTTCTCGCCGGCGGACCGGGGATTTATCGTAAAATACAAAATGAACCGTCGAGCGGAACGGCATTATGAATCAGATACTCCTCGTCTCGAGGAATAAAAAAGCCCGCGCGAAAGTGCTTGAACGTAAAATCTAGGCTGTCGCGTTGCGATATCTTCTCGTGTCTTTAAAAGTTGACAAATAAAACGTCAATTACGTATGAAAATAATCGAGCAGAAAATGTTATAGCGTATCAAATTTTACTTCCACTCGTGCAAATGTAAGCCGTGCAGTGTTGATAATAGCTGAAAAAATGGTAGTATCATTTCATACAAGAATTTGGATTTCCTTCTTTAAATTAATTCTCGTCAACGTGTATCGATGTTGTATCACGAGCACTCGAGTCGAGGTCTCGGGTTACATTTCGAAATTGCGCCTTTACACGATCGTAAAACGTTTCGCATCCATCCGGGCGCGAGATAAAATTCCGCCGGCGACATAAGAACCTCGACGTGGTGCCCACGGAGGGTGCATCCCTGGGCGAACCGTATAGCACGTATTATACGAGGGTGAGGGTGATCAACAATGGCGGCACGACCTCAGGAGGCTCCTCCGTTCTCCGTTCCCTGTTCCCGACGCCATTTTACGTTGATTACGATGCGGTTAGCTCCTTCCAGCCTCCCGCAACCCCTCGAGTCCCTCACTCCACTCGGACTGCCTTCCTTCCTTCCACCCCGCCGCCCCTGCCGCTCAGCCTCTCCGCGGCACCTCCTCGCCTAATTCTATTCTCCTCCTCTCCTTCCGAGGCACTTACACACAATCGACTCGACCAACACAATCCATGCTTGCCGGTCACCGTACTTAACGTTGTGGTCCGTCCTGCGAGGTAAGAACAGCTCGGCAGCACGGATCAGCGACTGATCTATGAGTCTTTGTCATGTTTACCGAACCGCCGGCCGGACATCTCGGCTTAGTCTCTTTCGCCCGGCGATATATCGCGCGAGCATTCGTGCTGCGAGCGCTGTACTGTCGCGTCGAATGTTACTTCCGCGTAGCTCACGTAGGGAAGAAGGGTGTGAAATATAAATTTTGAACCACCTATAAATTTGGCTTTGTCTAGATAATTATAGAAATTCTGTTCGTACGGTACAGTGTCTTGGAAACTTCGGAGAAAAAATCCTAAAGTGATACCTTCACAA